CCCACACCCTGTGAGAAGGACAGGTGTGATTGACTTTGTCCCTACAGCAAAAACATGTAAAGTTTTAAAACTTTGATTCGCTTTGTGAATACAAAGTAGAAGACGTCTTGAGACGCGTGAGGGCTCTAATTTATTTATTCTGTAATAACCTAATAATTTTAATTGGAAATGGAGAGAATTCTTGTTCTCCTTGTTCCCCTGTGTATGTCAGCATGTGGGCATTACTTTTCTTGTAAAATAGTATCTACCCACATACTGCCTCCACAGTACAGCTGATTAGATAAAACTGTACTGAATTTCCTTGAAGTGGGATAGCTTAAACCAGGGAACTGTCTGCTAAATAGAAAATACTCGTGGTATTTAATCTTAGTTGTATCAGACCTTCTCCTGGTGCCAAGGAATACTCGTCAGCAAACGAATATTGTCATTTCACTGCGTCCACTTGCCTTGTGCTAAATGTTTTACAGAATTTTTGGCCCATACTCACACAAATTAAAATTTTTTAACAGGTAGAGGTTTTTAGATATAAGTATAGGTAAGATTTTGTAAAACCAATGTTAACCTAATGCATTCATTTCCCGTGGGTTTCTTACTCATTTGTGTTCTTCATTAATAGTCCCAGTATTCCTCCTCTCATTAATTCTATTTTTAGTATACACGTATCTATTCCAGTAGCTGCAGTAAGGCTCTTTCGCTCTGTATTGTTTAACTGTATTATCTGCTAAAATGAGAGAGGGTTTTGCCTACCTTTGCTTGGATAGGTTTCCTGCCTCAAATGTGGCTATGAAGGCAAGTTTTTTTCCCCTCCCTCCTGACAAATGTTTTCAGTCTTTCTTGAGTTTTCCTGTCAATCTGCATTCTGGATTCCAGGTAAACTGCTCTGTTAAACCTTAGTTTTACTCCATGGGAAGTCACCTGTTTGTTCTTTAACTGCATTTGTGGTGTTTTGGTCAAATGCTGCTTCTACTCGCGATCATCCACGTGTCTGTTCCGCTCTGTAAAATGCCGCCTTTAATGTCTGTGGAAGAACAACTTATGGATTTCGAGCTTGAGAGTTCTGGTCTGTCCTTCAGTTAAATCATCTTGTCTAGTTGAGTTGTCTGCTGCTTCTTACATTCCATGAGAGCTTTAGTCATCTGTTTTTAGGATTCTTTCCCGATTTGTCATCCATTCGACATACATTGTCCAATTTAACTGCACTGCTTTTTGGAAAAGGAAGCTTTTTAAAAGATAGATGTTTTAAGTCAGCTCTTAAATACCACTAGGCCGGGTATCTGGATGTTTGCTTTGCTGACAGAGTCACTGCGGACCCATCTGTGTGACGCTCCAAGACCATTTGCCACTGTATTCCTGTGTAAAGGCATCGCTTTGTACTTTGTAATAGAGTTTGCAATCCTGAACTTGCACATTTTGGTAGCCTTTAAAGATTGCTAGAAATCTTACACTGGCTGATACCGCTATAGCTCGTACCACACTCTGCATCCATTCTGTCATCCTCAGAACTTGTGTCTTATCAAAACGTGTTTCAGAAGTGTTCCCGGGGTGCAGCAGCACAACTCCAGGGGCATTCCAGAACAGCCAGTCTTGGGCTGGTAGGATATTGCTGAAAACCACCTTATTTTACATTTGGTTTAGTGGCCCTTCAGTTATTTAGGTAAGATGGCACAAACGGAGCAATAGGAGATGGAGAGAGCGCTTCCCCGGATAGCTGGTAGTCATTAATGCAGTAAATTAATTGGCATGTGGAAAACTGCTTCATCCTTTCTCATCATTTGCTCTGTAATGTAACTGCGAACACTTCATAGGTGGTGTGGTGAAACTTAATTTTAAGTCTTTATTTACTCCTCCTCCTTATTTTTAACAGTTTTTATGAAATAATATTTTTTTTAAAAAATTGTACTTTTGTGAAAATGTCTAAACTTTTCTGAATATTCTGATGCTGTATATTAAACCTCTAGTTTCCTCTGTCTCTAAATCAATAGCTTTTTCATTTTAAAAAGTAATCATTTGTCTGACGTGATTTACCTTTCACAAATCTGTGTTGATGAATAGGTAATTCATATCCAAGCAGGTCTTTGTCTACCCTCATCTTATTGTGTTAGTAGTTATCTGAGTACACTGAATTATTCCCCTCTGATGGTCATTATTACCTCCTAAATATCTACCTCCTGTCCTCCTTCCATGCGCTTCTGTATCCTCCTCCTGTTACCAGCTGTAGGTGCAAAGCCTGAAGACTGCTGAGCTGCCTGCAGATGTTTTCACAAGGACTCCAGCACCCAAACTGAAAGGCAGCATCTTTCCTTTAAATAAAAATTAACCCAAAAGAGGGGCAGCTTCAATGTTTTTCTACATAAAAGCTGTTTACTTTGAAGTGTTTATAGAAGCCTTTTGTTTCTGAAATACAGGCGGTGCTGCTCAATAAGTCATGAGGATAACTGGGATTGTACCTGTGGATTTATTTTTTTTTTACGTTATACCAGAAAACATTGATACATAAATTCAGATTTCCTGTATGAAGAACTACTGTTTTTTTTCATTTCACCGAATCATTCTGTTTGTAGCGCTGGCACACACAAACACCCAGTCTCTGGATAGCAGCATCTCCATGTCTCTTTTGCCTTTTCTCCCTCACACTGCGGTTCCCGGTCAGGCAGGCGAGAGCTGGGCCAGTCTGGGGGTGCTCGTCCCTGCCAAGTGGTTAGTGATCTCGGTGGTTAATGAACTTGGGCTGGAACTTTGCTGTTTAAACGTACTCCTAATGCTTTGGGTTTCAGTGTTGCTGTTCTCTTGTTTTCTCTACCTTTTCTCTCTCTCTGTCGCTAACCCTCTCCCCCC